TGTGTGTGTGTGTGTCAGTCAGTAGTGATTATAACTAGCTTTAGCTGAAACACTCGAGGTCTGTTTGTGTATCTGAGGTCTCAATCCTCCGCTGCTAACATGGGTTACAAAACTCTCATGCAGAGGTTGGGTTTGTGAGGGTGAAGTCGACTTCCTCTGGCCGTTTCCTGTTCTTGTTCTCTTTCAGCTCTTACTATGGGCCTCATTGTTGATCGACGTTCAGATTATCACGCATGGCTTTGATTCGCTCTCATAAACACTTTGTTCTTGCACAGATGAAGATTAGCAGGAGATTTTCTGTGAATCACTGAGACGCTGTGAGAAATGAGGAAGTCTGAGTTTAGTTTGATGTTGAATGACAGACGCGTATGGTGTCGTTTATAGATTTTTACAATCAGTTTTGCACTAATAGAACCTTCATGTCATTTTTCAAAACTCTAGACATAATTCACAACCGATGATCAAAATGCACATTTTTCAAAACACAACACTTTTTCCAAATGCTTGGATACAATACACATGAATCAAAGATCTGTTGTTCACTGAACTGAAATCACCAGTTCAAAATGACAACATCAAAGCATTACTATTTCACAATGCAACTCACACATTACATCTGAATTGAGTGTCTATTCATTTCATTACAAAGATCTAACTATCAACTGATACAACTGCTCAAAATGCTACATAACTGTTGCATTACTCTTGAAGCATAGTTTTTATGGAAAATGATGAACAATATTGAATGTTTAGATTATGAAAGTGAAGCAGCTGAGTATGTTCAGGTATGATCAGCTTCAAGATGCCTGTTGCTGAGAAAAACAAACAAACCCCAAAATTCTAGATCATTGTTAACAGTATTTGTTTTTCCTACAATACTGTCTTTTTAGAGGGTGATAGAGCTGGAAGCTGATGAAAGCCATTCATATTTTTGGACGAGGCAGGCTTTACCCTGGCCATGACATGGAGGAGAGTTTGAGAGCCCAGCGGTTGAGAGGGGCCAGAACGATGTTCGCTGGGGGCCCGACCACCCCTCACTGAATGAGGGGCCCCCACAGCAAAATCAGTGCAATGGGCCCAGAATTCCTAACAACAGCACTGAGTGCAATCATGGTTTCAGGCCCATCCACATTATCACCTTGTATTTACCCCATACTCCGCTTTCCTTACTGTAACCCGACTGAGGAATTGTTCTCCACATGGAGGTGCAAGGTTCACAATAGAAACCCTCACAAACAAGTCCCTCTTCTCCAGGCCATAGATGATGCTTGCAGTGACGTCACAGGAGACCAACGTCAGGCCTGTATGTGCCATGCCAGAAGATGTTTAGCTGAAGAAAACATACATTATGATGTGGCCAAAAACCTGTGGCCAAATCCACAAGACAGGGCTGATAAAAACATAGAAGTGCAGTGAGTGACATTTTACTGTAGGCTACTGTAGTTTTTTCTTATCTTTTTTTCTCATCTGTTTTTTTTCTTATTTCAAGTTTTTTGAAAAACCTGCTGTGAGTTGTGTATTTCATCAATAATTTTCAAAGTTTGTTTAATGGTTCCAGTGTCTGTACTTTTACACTGCATCATGTGCATCATGTGTTTTGAACAGCTATATTTAATGATTGTATTAACAACTAAACAGTGAAACTATGGGTATCTTGTGTGTGGGTGATCTAAAGTAATGTCTCTATGATATTTCATAATAAATTAGTTTTTTGAACCAATGCTTCTGCAAATGCAAGGCTTCTTTAAAGATATGAACGCAATATGCAAAGTTTTGAATATTGGAAAGCCTGTGATACAAATAATGGCTGTTTTGAGTTTTGTGTCTAGAGTTTTGAAAAATGACATGAAGGTTCTGTTATTAGTGCAAAAATGATTGTAAAAAAATTGTAACACACACTTACAGCCGTTATATCAGAGATTACTAGATTCATATCCACAGATGCCTCTTATTCTCTCAACTGATCCTCCATGATTGTGCAGATGTTCAGCTTCAGATGATGAACTGTGTGTGTGTGTGCGTGTCTCTCTTCATGTTTCCAGACATGTGAAATCAGGCCAGCATGGGATGGAGAGAAACGCAGGAATCCTGCTGAAAGTAGGTCAAGCATCAGTATCTCTAATGAAGCGTCTGTAGAGCTCGAACCCTCTGCCTGTCACAATATGATCAATAAACCCTCACGTTAGGCTCAACATCTCATGACGTGTAGCTAAATAAGCTGCTTGTCAGGTCGAACAAAAGCATGATGGTCTGCGGTAAGCAGTTAATGAGCTGGTCAGACGGGTCGCTCGGATTCCAGCCGCCTTGACTTCTGACTGACCCGTCAAACACAGCAGAGTCTCACAGAGCGCAGATATGATGAGCTCATCTGATTAACACAGAAACATCTGAGACTAAACTTAGCTTCACAATCAGTGTCATCACTGACGTATGGAAGCTTATTTACACCACCGAATTAAATAGTAAAAAAAAAGTAAAAAATTCTCAGAATTCTTAATTTATATCTCACAATTCAGACTTTTTATTTACTTTTTTTAATTTATTATTTTTATATACTTATTGTAAACTCAGAGTTCCAAGAAAAAAGTCAGAATTGCAAGATATAAATGTAGAAGTCTGAGGAAAATAGTCATAATTGTGATATGTAAACTCAGAATTCTGAGGGAAAAAGTGAGAATTGTGAGATGTAAACTTGCTAAAGAAATCAGAATGATGTGATATAAACTTGCAAAAAAGTCAGAATTGTGTGAACTTGTGAACAAGTCATAGTGATCTTAAAGAGTCTCTCATTTGTTCAGGATGAATGTTTGAGCTTGAATCTGTCATGTTTTTAGTAACGTTATTAGATTCCTTTTTGGTGATACAAATTGAAAACTCACATTATCTCATGTGCAGTACTATTGTTTATGATCTATATGGCAGTTATCTGAACTGAACTGTGGGTATTTTCCCTCTAAATCAGACTTTGGACTGGTTTCACTTCACGATCAAAAGGTTAACCAGAAATAACTGGCCTGCTGTTGATTACAGGAAAGATGCATCGAACTGCAGACGCCACACGAGCACGAGATGTTTGCTCAAGAGCTCCTCTGCTATTTCAGGGTGAATGTTTTTAAGGTCTTCTCGAGTATTCACACACGCCTGATATATTCTGACACGGGCTGCGAAGACGAGGACGTTTGATGCGAAGATGGAAACCTGTGCTTGAGTGCTAAATGTGCTGTAGTCTTTGTGAATCACGTAGAATCTGTCTTTAAACCAGGCATTTTCCACCGGTTTGCACACACACACACACACACACACACACACACACACACAAAGTAGCTGGAGTGTGTCTTTGTCACACAGATCGCTGCTGTTTCTCTTTCAGTACATGAAGTGAAACATTCATTAATATCATTTAACAGGACTGAGAGAGTGTCACATTTATTTCTTCAGCAAGAA